ACGTTTGTGAATTTTGCATTAATGAGGCACGAGCAGTGCCTCATGAGCAGTAAGAGGGTAGAGGCAAGGACCCAGTGTTCACTGCCTCCCAGGGAGCCCACTGAGGAAGGACTTGCCAAAACCTGGCCTTTTGAGCTGTGTGGAACTGCTGGAATGATGGAAGGCAGGGGTAATAGTATGCTTGTGTAGTCGAGCTCTTCCAGAACACCTGGATATTATACAAAGTCACATACTTAAATAATGTCTAACTTTCAGTAGCTAGGTATAGTAACCCAAATCATGTTTTTCAATGAAGTATTTTAATACAGCCAGAATCCTCTGGAGATCTTCCATTATCTGGCTTTGTCTCAACTAGAGAAAAGCAGTATTTATTGAACACTTCTGTCTTTATGCGTCCTTATTGATAATAATATATTCCTAAGAAACAATGAATATTAGGCTTCCTTTTGTTAAAGGCATTTTAAGTGTGCTAGGAACAAATTAAAAAGGCGAATATAATTTCAACGATACGCAAGTATGGTGATGTTGCCTTATGGGAGGAAAAAGTAGTATATGATAATGTGAAGTGTGTATTACAGTGCATATGTATGAGAGGCATAGAACTAAAATGATACAACTTCAATTTTCACTATTCCTACATCCTTCTCAAACTACATAATTGCCTCTTTACCACAGTTTTGGAATGCTAATAGCATAACACATCCCTGTTAGCGTTTTTACCTCTGTGGGTATAATCTGTGTTATGGCACTTAATCCTTTACCTGTAAAGGTAAAGGCTTCCAAGAGCCTTGGAACAGACTGGAAGGAGCAGTCGGGAGCAAGGGAACCCCTTTCTCTCTTTAGAAAATAGTGCTTATACCCACAGGGTGCTTGCTGTAAGCAGAAAGATGCCTTGAAGACGTATCTAAAGCTGGTGGCAGTGTGGAGACTCTTGATCGCCCTAGGTGACCGCTCTCTCTGAAGTTGGAGCTCATCTGATTGTTCAAGAGTTGCAGTACGCAGTGCACACAGCTGCTGCTTCTGTGCAGTATTTCTTAACTAAGCTTTTTAAAAGCTGTTTTAGACAACATGACTTCTCAAATACTTGGCAGTAGAAACGAATGGAAGTATTGCAGTAGACACTGTTGTTGCTATTTCAATGAAGAAAATTACCATAAGGAAAAAGATCAACTTAGATGAATTCACAGATATGAAGTTGAACTGTGAACAGGTAGATGTTATGCGGAAGGATGGTGCCATCATCATCATCACTGGATGTGTTTTAGCATGAAAGTGGTAGTGATTCCTGGCCCCTGTTTTAATTCCTTAGTCAAGGACGTTAACTGAGGAATGGCACAGTCTTATTCAATGAAGTTTTCTGTTCCCATCAGAAGGCGAGAGCTTCTGTGTATTGGAGCAGTATTATAGTTGGCTGTTAAATAATTCCTGACCAGTTGAAGTTTGCTTATAGGACCTCAACAAAACTTTAAAATTTGCAAATGATATAATGTTTATCTACTTAACTGTGCTTTAGGAATTCTTGTCAGATTTTTTCTGACAGTTTTCAGATTCTCACTCTTTTCAGTTATTTTTCTTAACCTTGAAAGTGTGCTGTTTCTCAAAAATTTTGAAGAGAGAGTGGATGAAGGAAAAAAAATAATAAATGTACTTAAAAAGACTTGTTGTGAAACTATTCTCTATTTGTTAAACTACTTTGAGCAAGTCACTTCAGGCAAAAGATAGTATGACCTTCTTAGAATTTTTTTTACAGTTGCATGTGAAATTAATGATTAAAGTAATTGAATTTTTTTCTTCTCTAAATTTTTCTTAAGTTGGAAAATAGACTGGAGAATGCAGTAGCCTGCTCTGCCAATGATCAAGAAAAAACGTACATGGTTTTGGAAAGTAGTTTATGTAGGAATGACTTGAAAAGTGCACTTGTTCAGACTGCTGTCCATCAGATTTCAGGCTTCTAGCTGTTCTAGATGAATTTTTTCTTCCACTTAGCTCTCCCAGGTGCTGTAGAGCTATCCTTTTCACTAACTGTGTTATGCTCAACTTTCTAGATTAGTGGTATTACATATGAAATAATGAAAAACATATTCTGCTTTATAGTTGGTTAGGCCTGAATTTGAATTTGATTTAATGTACTCGTGTGCTTTAAAAAGATAGAAGGAGGGTGCAGGGGGAGAATATTTAGTATAAGTTTTACAATATGAGACCAGAAGGTACTCATCCCAGAAGAAAAGCGTGATACATATATGTTATTAATGCTATTGATAAATTAACATGTGTAAGCACAAACTATACTGAAAGAGAATATTTGCAAAGTCAAGCATTTGCACAATTAAGAATGCCAAAGTCAATATAGCTTTTGGGGCATAATTCCATGGCGCATAATTCAAAACAAACTGAAGAAGCGTTTTGGAGCATAAATGCACTCCTGCAGTCTGTAGTATGTATCATTGTGCTTATCCGGAGGTTCAGAGAAATTAAAGATACTTGCCATTAATTTTGAGGGAATGACAGCATTGTCATCCTGTTTGTGCACTGCTAAGTAGAAGTGGATGCTTTGTCTTTGTTTCAATTTTCTAGCAGCACAGTAATAGCAATAGTCAAGAATCTTGGAATCATTTTAAGCTCCCTGGATTCAGGGAGCTCATGGGATATTCCTGAAGGTAGTCTTATTCCCACTAAGCATGGCCAGTTCTTCCCGGTATGTCCTTCTCCTTTTTCATCCCTGCTAACTTCTACTGCTTAGCTCACGATGTAGATTTCTTGACTCCAAGTGGTAATTTTGTCTTTTTGACAAATATGGCCAAGGAGCATTGCAAATTAACTTAATATATGGAAAAACACAAGCACTTAGACTGGGTTACTAAATTTAATGTAATCTATTAAAATAGCGTATTTCCTGACTATCTAAAACTAGAATACCCCAGTGGCCGAATTCACTTAATAATAGGCTATGATCTGTTGCTGTTGTGATATTTACAAGTCATTGAAAGTCATCCTCTTTTAAGAAAAACAAAAGCATAAGGGTATACAAGTAGCATGACTGTCTGAGTTGGGGGGGGGGGGGGGGGAGAAACTAGGTACTCGTGGTGGGAGGATCAGGACTGAAAACAGGGAGCTGGGCCTGGGTGGAGTCTACAGTCCTGTGCCAGACCACCGGGGCACTTAGGAGAAAGGAAATGGGAACATGGTGGCAACACAGCTAGGTGAATGGATGTTGGCAGAGAGAGGGTTCATGGAAGGGAAGAATGGGAACAGACCAAAGGAGGAACGGGGGAATTGAGATTAAGTATTGGAAACTGGGAAGAGTTGGCAGAGGAAGAAGGAAAGCATGAGATCAGGAAAATGAGGGACAAGGATGGTGAGTCTAGAATTTACTAGACAAGGAGGTGAGGACCAGAAGTGGAAACGTGAGGACTGTAGTTGGAGATTGACTCATTGGGGAAATCAGAACTGGGACAAGGAGCTGGTGGAGGATAGAGGTTGGAGGCAGATGCTCTGTGAAAACGGGAAGAGAAATCTGTGTGTAACAAGGCTTGTTCCCCAGCCGGACGCACATCCCAAGTTCCCTGAATTCTCTGAATAGAAATTCTCTGAATTTTATAGATAGCTGCGGAGACTTCATGTGAATAGTCTGTTGCTCTAATGCTGGTCAGTGTAGCAGAAAGGGCAGGGAAAGTGTATCATCTGAAGTCACAGATAGGGCTGTAGTGCAGACAAAGTGGAACTAGCTTCGTTAAGAGAAAAGTGTAGCTGCAGCAGCAAGGACTTGGTGAAGTTTGCGCAGCTGCTTGAGAAGCTTGATGATTATTAAGTGGCTGATCTTTTCTGTGCTCAGTTCTGCTGGAGGTAAGCTTTTATGGTATCCAGGTTAGCTGGTTTAAACATGATCCAGGTTTGTTAACTTTGTAGTGTAGTCACAATAATGTAGTCAAACCCTCTTGGTTAATCAGTTACGGCAAAAGCAGTTTGTGAAGTGGGTGTGAAAGTTGCACTCTGACGATATTAGTGTAGTTGTCGATCCAATGCATTGTTTGTTCGGGAAGAGGATTTAGTTTGCTTTTTATTCACACAGCCCTTTTATTCACACTTCCCTTAAGGAAGATTATTGCTGTTAAGAGTCAAACATTCTAAAGCTATAAAACATCAGAATTAAGGTCACTTCTTAAACATTTCTATATATGGTCTTACTATAGGACCTTCTATAGGGCCTTTTTTTTTTTTTCTTTCTGGTAGATCCACAGGGTCCTGGAGGCTATGTTGCAAACCTGTCTTGTGTTGCAGAACTTGGAGGACATGCCTAGAGAAGAAAAAAGATGGCAGGGAGAGAGAAATGATTCTAGCAGCTGTTTAGCTGTGGAAATTCTGTTACGTGTCCTGTATTGTGTTCTAGAGTCAATGTAATGCTAGTTGGGACACCTACAAGAACTTTTGAGAGGCGGGTAAGGGTCACTGCTTTCCATTTTTTGATTCCCTATTTCGAGACCATTGGAAGGATAATCAAACTTTTGAGTAGGCTCTTGTTAAGTGAGCAGTATCCTGGCTGTACTGAATGAGGCAGGACTTTGGCAGGGGAAGAACTCCGTGATATCAAGAGATATCAAGACAATCATATCGAGACAAGGCATGTGGAGAAGAAGGCTGACCTAAATTAGAGTGAGAGTCTTAATTCTGTTACTTCCTCATTAGATTTTATTTGAGTGTTTGATTTGATGCTGTGTTCTTTTCCTAATGTAGAACGTGTGTGTGCATAAACAATTTTGAGATTTGTCTTAATCTTGTTTTAGGGGAGTTAATAATAGCATTAATACAAGGTCAGGTGAGAATTTACTCACATAATAGGAGTATTGAGGTGACTGTGTTGCCAGAAGAGAGGTGGCTTGCTTTGTTTTGAAAGGTGAGAGCATTTGGAGTTAGCAACCTAATGGGTATGTTTGCATATGTTAGATTGTAATTATATCATACACTAATCCTTATTTTTCTGGTTTTTTTTTTTTTCATTTCAGATTTTGATGCATACCAAGGAGATGGTGCAAAAGGTAATGCTGAGCATTTTTATTACACAACAACCCTTAAAGAGCACACCTGGTGAATTTTTTTTATTCTAGGAGAATTGTAACCCAACCAGACCTGAAATCACTTCTTAGGATGCCTGGTTTAGAAATGTAATCCTTCCTAATGGATTACAGCTTTTTCTTTTCCTAGTACAGATACGATCTAGCCCCTGCTTGAAGCCTATGTGCAACTGTTGCAAGCAAATTAGCAACAGTGCTAATTAGAGTTTACTCAGAGGCCCGTTACACTGTGTGTTCTAGTGTTTTATTATGGTTTATTTATTTGGCATCCTTTAAACTCTGTCACATGATGATTTTTTGACTATATGGAGTTTAACATGGACATAGCCATGCAATTTTTACAGCTACATTGATTCTCCTCCACTGAAGACATCCAGTTTTCATTTTTCAATTTAATATGATGTCATAGGATGCATCTGCCAATACTTTGGTGACATTTCTCTTTTCACTTTTCCCCTTGTTATGCCTTTCATACACATCTCAAGGTTTTATGTGGTTCGCTTCGTCTGGAGTTTGCTGCATTATCCCATAGTATTATGGCAGTCACTCTTGGTTATAAATAGAAAGTCTTGTTAGTGTTTGCACACAGTCTTTTTTAAAGCGGGCATTTGAATTGTTACCAGAATCAGAGGGAGAGCTGATACGAAGAGCAGAGTGTCAGTCAGGGAGAAGGAATCAAGGAGGTGGTTGTTTTCTTCTTTAGATGTAATTGTTCGTAGTTCAACCTGGAGATACAAAACTTGTGGGTCATAGTAGCTAGATCCTTCTGGAGAAGGAAAAGCTTACTCCCTGCAAGGTTTGCTGACCAGGAGAGGACTAATACAGAAAACTGGATTAAAGCAGAAGAAAAGAATGGGAGTGGGAAGACAGAAATATTAAGCCGCATGCAAATTATGAAAAAATGTGAAGGAAGAGCATAGTCTAGTCTGGACGCTACTGTGGAATTCTCAGTTATGGTATTCACTAGTCAGTGTTTGAAATAAAGTAGCTAAGCATTAATGTTTTTTTAAAATCTAAAATGATATTTTTGCAATAGTATCATGTGATGGCTGCAAATGGGATAGCTGACTGTAGCATTATCTTTCAAGCAGGTTGGCTAAATGTCTTTATCTGAATAGTCTGAACATGTCCAGCAGTTGCCTTGAGTCTCGGTGATCTTCTAGTGTCCCAGCAGTCCAAAATTATTAATGATCAGAGTTCCAGTCCTGTGGTTCTTGAAGACTAGAATTATCCAGAGAATTATTTGTTTTAGCATTCATTTAGTATACATTTTAACTACTAAAGTTATTACGTGTGCAACCAAAGAGTGTTTTTTTTTTTTTAAATGTATTAGTGTTTCACATTTCATTATTCTCTCTGAACTCAGGTGTATGTTTCAGTGAAATATGCAGACTTTTCAGTAAAAACCTACTTCACTTTTTTCCCCGCAATTTTTAATATTTAAGGAATAATGTATGGACACTGAACTTCTAGACTGAATGTTGAAAATGAAGGTGGGACTTTAAAAGGATGGAGAGTTTTTGATTTTGTTTTTCAAAGCAGTTTGTTTCATTTAGATGAACCTTGAAGTGATTTATGGAGACACAGATTCCATTATGATAAATACAAATAGCACCAATTTGGATGAGGTCTTCAAGCTGGGGAACAAGGTAAGGATTATTTCCTTTCTAAAGCTTTCCTGCAGCTCTGTGCTGTAATGCTATGTGGAAGGGGGGAAATGGAGCAGAAGGTATTAAGAGAGCTCTGTGGGGAAAGCAGAGAAGAGGACAGGAAGGAGAAGAGCATGACCATGCATGGAAGTTTTGTAGTATTAAAAGCTCAGAGCGCTCTATCTTCAGATATAGCTACTCTGAACATATTTTTTTAATGATTTAATTGAAACTAAAAACTTCATTATAACTTTGCCATTCCTAAATTATCAGGAGAATATTATCTGAATAGTTAGTAAGCCAAAGTAAAACTATCATGGAGAAATAGTGCCTTACAATTAAAATACGCATACAGTTTGGATGTTAATTATTTTTGTTTTTAACATTTCAGATGTCTGTCAGCTTAGTTTTGTTGGGTTGTGTAGCATATATTACACTGCAGGTACCAACATTTGAATTTACCACTGGAAATTTGATAACTTCCATAGTGTAACAAAAACGGATGAGGTCTGTTGATTAACACATGGCAGCTGAGGGTGGGGACGTTTGTGTTTCTCATGTGTTGTGGAGGAAAAGTGAGAAGTGTTTTAAGTATATTTTAAAGAAAAGATGTGAAGAAAGTTATTTTTGAAAGGTAAAAGAAATCCTGATGAAAATGAGAGCCATGAGAAGCAGAAGATGATGTTGAAATTTTTTTTCAGTAGAATATTCTACAAAAGACATGCAGTTTTAAAGCATAGGTTAAATACTTCCAACTTTGCTTGAAATTTACTGAGAGAATAGGTATGTTTTTCAGCTTGTCATCCGGTTGGTGATTCTTCTCAGAGTCAAATATTGAGCTTTTTATCCCATATACTTCTTTATCCTATACTACATCTTTTAAAAGGGCATGACCTGTTTGATTAATGTATTTTAATATTATGTACTCACTGTTTTTTAAAAGTGAATAAACTTCTTAGGTCTAAATAAGCACACCCTCAAACCTAGTATTGCAACTGTGAAAGTTGTAGATCTCGATATTCTTTGTTTCTTTGGCATAAAAAGTACTTCTTGTATTTCTTGTTTATTTGTTCTTTAAAAAATAACAAGAGACTTTTCAGCAAACATTTCTGTCGTTTAGGTTTCAACGTATTGCGTCAACCATAACAGAATTTTCAGGAGAGAGAATTGTATCTGTTGATGAGGAAGACGACTCTTATAAATGTAGTTATTTATTAGATTTTAATTTCCTTGCTAAAAATTTCAGGTACAAAGAGATGCAGGCTGCTTACTTTGTGTTCGTGATACTTTTGCTTTAATGGAGATGGCATAGAAGGCACACAAGGACGATGCAAGCAACTACTGCAAGAGCTGTTAGCCTACATACCTCTGTTCTAATATGGAGATATGGGTTTATAGGCTTGAATCCAATGTTCCTCTGAGAGATTAATTTTCTTCTCTTGGGAAAAATTCTCTCATCTTCTGCCTGAGTTTTGCCATCTCTTGATGTCTGGTCTCATAGATTTCTGATTGTCATTGTTTCTATCCCATTTATCCCCTTGTTTTATCCCCTCATTTTCATGCAACGTTCTGAATCAAATTTGCCTGTATGTTCAGTACTGTACTGGTGCTGTTTTTAAGCACTTCATTAGTATGATGTAAACATTGAAAACAAGTTCAAGAAATAGAAAAAATATTTAGTGGAATTGTTTTGGCTGTTCTTGTTTTATGAGCTGAATATGAACCTCTTGGCAAAATAGTATTGTCTAATGATGTCTTCATAACTTACAATTATGCAAGGGATGATAAAATCTAAGGATAGACCCGGAGTATTAGAAGTGCAGGTTCCTGTAATAGGAAAAATGAAAGTATGATTGAGAAAATGGAAGTCTAAAGTGCATATACAAAAGGAAAGTTTTTGTTTAAAACGGGTAAATTGACCCCAAAGCTACACTAAAAAACAATGAGATTTTATGCTGGAAATACTGCCCTTGCCTTGGTGAAGGTGTGCAGTAGATGACTGAAGAACTTTCATTTATGTAAAGCTTCAGCGAGATGGAAGAAGATAGTTCTGGTTGGTGGTCTGAGGAAAGAGAACTGAGAGTAAGGAAGGAGTGAAAATGAATAAGGAGATACTAAAGTCAAGAGGGAAACAAAATGGTAGAGGAAAGAGAGAGAGGGGTAGAACACATGAAGATGGGACAGGAAGTCTGAGGACAAGGAAAGGAGCACTGAGCGATGTGAAGATCTTCTGTAGAAGAAATTAATTTAAAAATATATGAAGAAAGTAAAATGGAGGTGGGGAACTTTTAGTCAAGCCAATACATGGGACATTGTATACTAGAACGGGGAGTTTATTGGTAAAGGTACATGCAGTTTTGAGATGTTACTCTTCTGTGTTTTTGGGATAGAAGTAAAAAAGGTGTAGCAGCTTTACATTTGCTACTGTACTAAGATGATATCTTGAGTGTCATTTCAAGCGTTTGTATGTGGATAGGACATGGCCTGTGCGTAGAGAAATAGCAACTTCCTCTCAAAGGAATCAGGCTGTAGAAAACGTAGGCATGTTGTGGGAGAGAGTATAACTAAACGCTTGCACGTATGAGCACTTTTTTTCGCCTGACATAAACACGCAGCTCTGGGTTGTAGTTACAGTTCACCCTGCCCCCTGGAAAGAAAGTGCCATTTTAAGTTTACTTTGTGAAGAATTGCTAGGCACCTACTTTCTATAAAGCAGTCTTCTGCCTAAGTGACCATCTTTTATCTCTTCCTACTCAGTGGATCCTTACTCTGAAATCCCTCGTTTGCTTAGTTTCTGTGAGAGGCTAGATGAAGCAGCTGCCTTGGTAAAAAAGGGCTGGAGTCAGTGATCTGCAAGGTCCTGTTCAGTCCCATGTTTGTCTGCTCTGCTTAACCTTGTTAGGGAATTGGATATACCATACTGTAAATCCTGAAGAAGCCTATAGGAGAACCTTAACTTTAAAAGTAGCTCGTACTCACTACTGTGTACTTGATTGTATTGTTAATGACATTTGCTGAACTTTTAAAGTGCATATGTAAACACACAGTGTATAATGTTATATTTCTTGTTTCAAACTTCAGAAAGACAGCCTTCTTGATGAAAGTTAAATGTTTCCATAATTATTAAGGCATTATACTTTATTTTAATGCTCATGCGTTGACAGATCAAAAGTGAAGTGAACAAGCTCTATAAATTGTTGGAGATTGATATTGATGGAGTCTTTAAGTCCTTACTACTGTTAAAGAAGAAGAAATATGCTGCTCTGACAGTGGAACCAACGGGAGATGGGAAATATGTAACTAAACAGGAACTGAAAGGATTGGACATAGTCCGAAGAGACTGGTGTGATCTTGCAAAAGAAACTGGAAAGTGAGTTTCTTTGTGGTGATTGTCCTTTTTGCTCACAGTCTCTGTTTTGAACAGTACACTCTTCATAAACATTGGATATCATGTGGCTGTTATGCAGCCATGCATATACAGATAATGCCTGAACAGTGTAGATTGGTAGCTAATATCAGTTTTAGGGCATCCTAACTGATTTTTGTAAGAGGTGTTAAACATTACCTTCTGACATTGGTAACAAATTGTACTTGTGGAAGTCCAAATGCTTCTAATTTCACTGTCTGTTTTTATATCTTCCTTCTAAGCTTTGCATTTTTTTTTTTTTTAGCAATTTTATATACACAGTTTAATAAACCAGAGCTGAAGTCTTGTAAGAGTGATAGGTTCTATCAGTGCTTGGAGTCAGAGGTTCACATTTTTCAGAGATGGGTGAAGAAGCTAGCGGTCAGCTCTGAGCATCCTCTAGTAAAGCTGAAAGCACACTCGGTGCATTCTGAAGACTGTAAGAGAAAAAGATCCCTTCCCCAAAGATCTTTTCTCTTCCATTTTTCAAATGAGGCCCTTCTGATATTTCATTAAGATGATAGTCTACTGAATTGATGATCATTTGATTAATTATCATTGCACAGAGCGCTTTCATGTTTAACTTCAACAGAGATAATGCACTCGAGAAAGAAAACTGGAGTGGGTGGAGAGGTGGTCATCTGGAGGCTGACTAAATTTATATTACATGGCAGCCTCTTTTAAATTTAAACTTAAATAAATTGTGGTCCAAATGTATCCCAAAATGGATACTTCTTTGCATTTGCAATAATATACCACACGCGTGTTTACTGTTCTTTAAAGATTTGCATTTTCCGAGAAAAGATGCATCATAATAGAAGCAAATTTTTCCAAGTTAGGAATGTATTAGTAATTAAAGCTATACAAATGTTTGAGAGTGTTCTTTAGTGACTAACTCTTCTGCAGCTGGCAGACCTTCCAGCCACATTTTACAGAAATAGGCAAGACTGCTTACTTTAACTTTGTATCTTCCTCCTCCCTCCTTCCCCCATAAATCCTAGGTACCTGCTACGGAATAATAAATGGCAAAGTAACATGTGAGCAAAAATTAGAAAAAAGTTGAATTAATTCCAAGTCATTGTTTAGTATTAAAACTATTTCCAGTCATTTACTTTCTGGTTAAAAAATAAACAAACACAACATGAAATATCCTGGCAGATTTTTATAACTTTTGAATTAGATTTCATCCTCAGGTTGTTTCTTTAGTTTCTAGAGATAACGCAGGAGAAGACACAAATGTGTTTACTGTAATGGTTTTATTTTATGTATCTTAAGCTTTCTGTATTTCTGAACTCTTTTTTCAGCTATGTCATTAGTCAGATTCTTTCTGATCAGCCCCGAGACATAATTGTGGAAAATATTCAAAGACGACTAATAGAAATTGGAGAAAACGTGATCAGTGGCCAGATCCCAGTAAATCAGTTTGAAATAAACAAGGTAAATGTGTTATTCCCATCTCCTAGTTTTGCTTTTCCAAAATTTACTGTATTTAAAGATGTTGTGTGGTGTTTTGTTTATTCTTCCACTGAATTCAGGTTAAAGATATTTAATCATGTACAATTTCCTTGAATGTTTGAAGATACTACTATGACTTCTTGTCCCTTTATTATCAGTGATCTAGGAACAACCCTGGAAAAGTGATACTGTTCCTAAAAAGAACTGATCAGCAGTCAACATATTTAAACATGAACTGCCAGGAGTGGATAGGTGGCAAATAATTCCCATGTGGGAATAATTATTAAATAATTCCCCCCCCCCAAAACCCCAAACCATAATTTGCATATGTATTCATTATTATGTTCCCTTCTGGAAGGTCCTCTTTAGCAATGTTCAGCTCTTCATAGAATTACCTCAATCTGATTTTTCTATGTTTATTGTACCTTTTGAAGGGGGTTTATTTCTTGTTTGATACGGGAATTAAAAAAAACCCAAACTCCTCCCCTATTTTAAACAACATTGCTATCACATTTATACTGTTTTCCTTTTTCACGGATGTTTACTCCTGGGTGCCAGTTCAGTATTGTTTTATGCGTTCACTTGACTTTATGTAATCCTAATGAAAAGAAAATTAATCATTTCTGTTCTGACAGTGCCTAAAATCATCCAGTCCAGCATTTTAGTTTATTAGATACTGAATAACATGGAACAAACTGCAAGGATCTTACAATAAGAATAAAGATACCTTGTGGAGATGGAGGCCAGTCTTGCTTTCTCAGAGTAGTGAGTTTGTGTCTCACCCAATCCTGCTCTCTTCCTCACTGATTTTCTATTTTTTCTATTTTAATGATTCCTTGATAGCTCGCGTTCTGTTTCTAGGAAAAGTTTTCTCCAAATCTTTATTTTATGTTCTTGGTTGTGAACAC